GAAAGTCTGAAACTTGAATTTGCTTTTACTTCACTTAAATAAAGTTCTATAAGTTTAAACTTTTACGAACAACATTATGTATTCCTGTGAAGTTTGCGAAGCAAAGTTTCAATCAATTTCAGGTTTTAATAAGCATATGAGGATTAAACATAAAGACTTAAAAAAAACTAAAGTTATTAAACGTAACTTGTACACATGCAATGATTGTAACGAAACTTTTGACTTAAAAAAGGTTTTGATTCAGCATGTCAAAAGCCATTTGATGAAAAATGTACAGCGTCAATCATTATGTTCGTTATGTCCAAAATCCTTTTCATCAATGTCTGGATTGATTGTTCATTTACAGAGTATACATAATGTAAATATTGAGACAAAATTGCTACATTTTGAAAATATAGAAGGTAAACTAATTTATTACTACATTGTTGGTGTTGTATGTATGTGCTCTGACAATATCGTACTTCGTAATTTTGTTATTTGTGTCTAATATTGTTTAATTCTGCCTAGGATAACGATATAAGTACCTGGAGAAATGTTGTGTTTTTTGTTTTATTGTGAAACTGTCGATGACCGGATGACTGGATCAGTTTATCAGTATAAAGTATTCATTATGTGAACGTTAATTTTTTTTTACTTTATCATATTTTGAATCTGTATGTACTATTTACCAAGGCTGGGCAAATTAATGATTTTTGTAACTGCAATTAATTAAAATCATTGAATATGGGGAGAATATCTATTGGTCAGTTATACATTTTGGTTACAATTATAATATACAACTCTGACATAATATAATTTTCTTAACTTTATAAAGAACATTGTAGCTTGATGTAAAATTTACCAACCAGTAAAATAGATCTAAGCGTTTACATTTTTTATGAAGTGTTTTGTGAAGTGCCTCTAAGTACATATTTGTATTAATACTGACGTGTTTTCTACACAAGCAAGTCTGATTCCTATCCATGTTTACTTGTAGCTCAATTATTAATTTTAAATATTTGTTTTATCTTCCTGTGTACTAAACACAATGTTTTATTTGTGAATTTTTTGAAAATTGACCTCCAAGTTTACTTGCTGACATTGTAAAGGTAAATATATTAAGTAATTTACAACAACATTTTTTACATTGGTTATTTTTAAAAATTATATAGATTTTAATGCATGGAAAAGAACTATCGAGGAAAAAGAATTTTGTCAATTTGTAAAAACTACTTCAATCAAAAAATCAACCGATAAAGAATATATGTACTTTTTTTGCCATAGATCATTTAGTCAAAGAACTACTAGAAAAGTAAAATATTTTATTATTTAAAAATGTTATATTTTAGCACAATACAATTGAACATGAAACACATTTATTTAAACTAATATTTTAATAAAATAGGGCCATCGATCTACAAAAAGTTGTGGTACAGTAAAAATTGGCCATGCATGCCCATCTAATATAAAAGTACACTTACAAAATTCCAAACTTTCTGTACAGTATTGTAATACTCATCTTTCACATACACATGAAATAGGAAAACAGAGATTATTTGCTGAAGATCGAAGCAAGATAGCAGGTAATTTGGTCATACTAAATTGTTGCAATAATTACAATGAAATTCCCATACTTGTAGATCCAATATTATGTAACTTCATAAAATTTAATTATGTTTTTAGGGAAATTATCATTGGGTGTACCAGTTAATAAAATCTTAGAAGACATCAGATCATCAAATGTTGAAAGTGATAGTATAAAACGAATTCACTTAATTGAAAAAAAGGACATACATAATATCAAAAGAGATTATAATATATCATATGCTACCAAAAGACATGAAAACGATTTAATAAGTGTTAATCTTTGGGTAAAAGAGATGATAGCGAAAGGTGATGAAAGTCCAATAATATATTTTAAACAACAGGGAAACAGTGACAATAATGTTCAAAGTTTTACAAAAGATGATTTTTGTCTAATCATAATGACACAGTTTCAGTCAGAGTTACTAATGAAATTTGGAAATGATAAAGTATGTATAGACGGAACTCATGGGTTAAATGGGTATAATTTTCAGTTGTATACTATAGTTGTGGTGGATGAGTTTGGAAACGGATATCCCGTTGCATTTTGTTTTTCTAATAAATCTGACACCGCTTTATATAAACATTACTTTCAGTGCATTAAAAATGTAACCGGTAAAGTTACAGCAAATGTGTTTATGTCCGATGATGAACCAGCGTTCTATAATGCCTGGAACGCTGTTATGGGTCCTGCAGAAAAACAGCTTTTATGTACTTGGCATGTATTAAGAAATTGGACAAAAAATTTAAGCAAAATACAATGCAATGAAAAGAAAACCATTGTATTCAAAACCTTAAAAGCATTGTTGTATGAAACTAATGAACATTATTTTTATATTGAACTCCAAAAAGTATTAGATGACTTATTTAATGATACAGAGACTGAAGATTTTGGGAAGTACTTTAAAATGATGTATTCATGTAGAGTAGAAAAGTGGGCATATTTCAATAGAAAACACATTGGTATAAATACAAATATGTACTTAGAGGCACTTCACAAAACCATAAAATATAGTTATTTAGATGGGAAAAAATGTAAATGCTTAGATCTGTCAATCAATGCACTTATGTCATTAGTTAGGGATAAAAGTTTTGAAAGGATTATTAAAATTGCAAAACAAAAAAAAACTTCTAAAATTAATCAAATTATTGCAGCTCATAAAAAATCTTCTGAGGTAACATCAAATATGATATCAGAAGTTGATGGTTACTGGTTGGTTAATTCTACAACTAACTACAATGTCCATTATAAAGTTGAGAAAACAAATTTTTCATGTAGTGAATGTGTTTTGAGTTGTGTTGAATGCCAGATATGTGTTCATACCTATAAGTGCTCATGCATGAATAATGTAATTTACTTTAATATTTGCAAGCATATTCATGCATGTGCAAAACAAAAAAAAAATATTTTATTACCATGTAAACCTGCAGTAACTTCAACATCTTTAACATATGAATTAGCTGTTGATAATGGTTTCCTACAACCAAACGAAACTCAGCCAAAGTTAGATGAAAATACAGATAATACAGGTGAAATCACAAATAAGTTAGAGTCAATACTGGGAATGGTGAATCGTACCAAGTTAAATGACATAGATCAAAAATATATAATAAAACAATGTGATAAAATAATTTCGAAATTGGCCAAAAATACAGATTTTAAAAATACTTCAAATGTAGGAAAGAAGAGAAATATTGAACCTCAAACCAGATTTTTTACCAACAAAAAAAAAAGAATTGAACCACCTACTTTATCATCTAATGAGAGTAAGCATATTAGAGAATCATTAAGGAATTCTTCCAATGAAACTTTATTCATAAGTACAACACAAATGTTTGACCACTCCTATTTATAAATTATGATTACCTATCTATTAACTATTATTATCTATAAATTATTGACATTTTAATTATTTTATCTAATATGATTGACACTTCAATTTTTTTGTTGCAATATTATTTTTACTATTTTTTTTTATGTTATTTCAGAGTTGTATATTATAATTGTAACCATAATGTATTAACTGACAACTAGATATTTCCAAAATTAAATTTTCATATTTATTAAGTCGTCAAAGATGTATTATGTATTTATGTTATTAACAAGTTTTGTTTGATCAATTAGATTCAATATCTGAGGGTAAAACATTAATTTGCCCTGCCTTGGTGAATATAAAATAGTACATACAGATTCAAAATATGATAAAGTAAAATAAATTAACTTACTAGGTACCCAGAATATTTATGTATCTACTTTTATTTAAGTCAAATATTTACCAGCAATAATTGTATTCACTGAGCCAGACCACCTGCATACAACACCAACAATGTAGTAATAAATTAGTTTACCTATCTCCTCTTTATCGTTTAATATGTTCCGGAGTTCTCACCCTTTTTGGATTATCAGGATTATCTTTAGTTTCACTGTTAATTTTAAACTATTTTTAACTATTTACTTTTTAGCAGAGAGGTAATAGTATAGTAAAATACTTTAATATACCATTTATAAAATAAAAATAATATTATATAATATTATATTATAATTTACTATTTTGCTATTTAATAGGTAGTATTATTATTTGATATTCTCGTTATCATTGTTATCATAGTTCGCCTTATCACAGTTTCATGAGATATGACGTCATGGATTCTACAAAAAATTTTTCCTGCTAAGAGCCATTCGTCTCGATTATGAGTGTTGATGATAACAGAGACACCTTTTGTGGGCCGTCCCCCGTCACCCGCCCACTTTGCCGTTTCCACTGTTTCCAGTCCATTATATCTTAGTCCGTGCTTCGGACTTTTAACTGTTAAGACAATTTAAATTTTAAAATTTGAATGAACTTAAACTTGTTACTTATTAGTTTCGACTACAGTTGTACAGAATTATTTATTAATTTAAATTGTATTAAGTACTTGCTATTGGTTAAGTTCAAAGTTCTCATTATTTACTTAACACTGATACATTATGTTTTTTGTTTAATTATTTAGTTTATTGTTTGATAACATATTTTTTTTTGCAACAGCTACAAATGTTTTGCTCATAGCTAATATAATTTAAAATAAAAATTGTTACACCATGATGTTATGTGGAAAATATTTCTTGTCATGTGTCTTATGTTGTTTATTTTTTTTTAAATCCACAACTACTGTCCATGGATTAATAGATCCAATCACAGGAACTTTTGTTGTAGGAGCTTTTGTGACTGGATACTTTCTAAATAAATCAAACTATGTACTCCCCAACATATTCTCTTTTTCTGGTGGATGTCCCAAAACATTTGAAATTAAAGGTAAATATTATGCAGTAATTTATCTTGTAACTAAAAATAAATAACTACAGTATTTGTTTTTTCTTCTTACATAAAATAAGTTTTTAATGTGTAATGAATACTTCTATGTATCTTAATATCTTATATCACTCATAACTGAAAAGTTTATTATGTAAATGTAAATAAGTTCAATTATGTTTAAACTGCAATACTACATAGGTAGGTGTTCACAATTCTGATATTCTGATTGACAATCAATTTTGATGTCACTGCATACTGAATTCGTGCAGTTGTTTTAGTTCATGATTTGCTGTAACTTGAAATTATTATAATAATTTAATAAATTCACAAGTATTTACAAGCATAATATACATAATTTACATTTCATTTATTTTTATAATAGAATTGGTATACCTACTTATTTATTTTACTTAAAAATACTAAAAATTTAATCTCAAATTAAGATATTTTTGTTTTTTTTTTTAGTATATTTAGTTTTAAGTGTTAACTTAATAAATTTGTACCTAGGTATACTAGTTTTTCATTATTCCTTTTACAGATTTAGAACGAGACATGAAAAAAAGTTTTTTTGGGCAACATATTGCATCAAAAATTGTATTATCTGCTTTGGCAGGTAATTTGCATCGTAGCAGAAATAACAAGAAACCATTAGTAATGAGTTTTCATGGTTGCACTGGTTCTGGTAAAAATTTTTTGTCAGATTTAATTGCTAGTCGTATGTTCACATCGGAAAAAGTAAAAAAATCTCGATATCATGTTATTCATGGACGATCTGAATTTCCTATGCAATCAAAAATAAACGATTATAAGGTAAACAATTTCTTTAGGTAGGTAAGTGTATTCTAGATTTGTTTGGATGTAAAATGATTTGTTTTGATTATTGTAATCTCTTCTCCTATAAATATTACAAAATGTAGAATAGTTACCTTTATTTCTGTATCAAATTTAAATATTTTGATCTTCTCACTATAATTTAATATATCTTTGTACTTTTACTTTTGAATTTTTTATGAAATACTTTGAAGAGTACTGTAATTAATTTCAGTAGATTGCCTTTCTGGTTTTTGTTGCACTGATTATAATTTATATTGTATATCTAATAGTACTATATTATTATTTATTTTTAATTGATTCTGAGCGTATCAATGAATGTATTGATTTCAGATTTATTTGATCTATTTCATACATTTTTGACAACATTGATTACATTTTTTATTGTAAATCAAAAATGAATAACTATGAATATTTTAGCAGATTTTACATTTTATTAGACTAATTATAGTTTTCAATATATTTTGGTTCTTTTTGAGCTATTCAATGATATTTAAAATTTTAGATTTTTAGTTTTCAAAAGATTGAAAAATTAATCAAGATGTACCTAAGTTATTCCTACAGCAATTTAAAAAGTTACAAGTCAAGTGTTAGATACTTTTAATATTTATAAATGTCAAAAGTTAACAATATCACTCTTAATTGATACTCAAATGTTTATAGATACTTAATATTAATTAATATTTCAGGAAAAACTTTATTCTAATGTGAAATCCGCTATAAAATCATGTGATACAAATTTATTTGTTTTTGATGAAATCCATTATATACCAATGGGTATATTAGACATATTAATACCTATTCTTGAAAACAATGATGTGTCAATTGATTCTAGGTAATTTATTAGTTAATTGTTTTATAGGGTCTGATGCTATTGTCTAGCTATTTAATAAATTAGAAGAATAAACATTTTGCATGAAGTTTCTGTTATTATAAATGTCGAGCAATGTTGAATCTACAAGAAATTCATTATTAGTAGAAAAGGTAATTTTTTTTCAGCAAAAAAGACAATAGAATTGGACTGCTAAAATGTATTAAAATATGAACATTAGTTTTAATTAATTGAATTTTAAATTTTAAAAGGAAACATAACTAATTGTATTATTAATATTACAGAAATTCAATTTTTATATTTTTAACTAATACAGCCAGTGATTCTATTATAAAAAAGTATTTAGATCTTTGGGTTAATGGATATTCTAGAGAGATGATGAAAGTTCAAGATTTTGATACCATATTACTAAAATCGGCTTTCAATGAAGAAGGTAAAACTTAAATTTTATATTATTTACAGTAGTTATAAGTTTATAACTCACTAAGTTGTAGTTAAATTTTATTTTTAATATTTTATGTAACATAAACATGGATTTATGGTGTTCCAGTTATGTATTGCATTGGTTTAAATTGGTTAATATTTATTACGATTGTCAAAAGACATAATTTAATGATTATTAAAAGTGTGAAATCTAAAGACAATTGATTATTGAGTACACAAAAAACTCATGCTTCAAAATTTATATTTATATAAATGTAATATGAAAGTTTATAACTTATTTTAAAATAAGATAGAGTATATGTAATTTTGTAGGTACATTTTTAAACAATTAAATATACTGTTGTATTCATTTAATAGGAGGGTTGAAGAAAAGTGCAATAATAGATTCCCATATTATTGATCATTATGTTCCATTCTTACCACTCGAAAAAGTTCATGTGGAACAATGTATCGAGGCAGAGTTGAAAAATCTTACAAAACATTTGGATTCCAAAACAAAAAGGTAATATTAGAAAGTGTAGTATATAAAATCAGTGATGATAAATTGAATCCATTATTTATTTATTTTTTTATAGTTTTCTATTACATTATGAAACTAATTTATTGAATTGAAATCCACTGGTTAATTTGTTAAAATATAAAAATATTAAATTTACTTAAAATACATACTTAATATTTTAAACATTTATACATATTTCATCTATATTTAATCATTATATACAGAAAAAAATTCCCCATATAGAGAAAATAGGAGTAACATTTGTTTTCACAATATATTTTAATGTTTCATAAACTTGAACAAATGATTAACATAAAAACATGGCACAAACCACAAAAGATAAAATTTTAAACATAACTCGTTGATTGTCTTTTATTAAAGGAAAAAGTATTGGTTACTTCTGGTTTTCAATAGTTATTAATTAATGAATACCATTTAGTTAATATACTTTTTATGTATTAACAATATGTTCATAATATATAGCTGTATTAATATAGAAATCTCTTAACACAAAAGTGTGCTATTAAAAATAATATATATAGTAATGACACCGTTTTTTTACAATATGACTAAAAAAAGTAAAAAAATATATATATATGTTGAAACATAAATTATGGACACAATTTTAATATATATGTTAACTTTACAAAATTTAAAATATTTAATTAAAAATATTCCTTAATATAGCACATAAAATAAAATATTGTTCACCATTTTAATAAACTTAATATCAAATCTAAAAATCAATGAATTTTTTATCAATCAAATTTATTAAAATGTATAATGATACATTTTTGCGACATTACAGATAAAAATAAATAACTATGTATGACATTTATTATTTGTGAAATGTACTTATTATATTATTCACTTTTTTCAGTGAAATACTGCGGATAATTACATTTGGTCCCGAGCCTCACAAGCTGTTTTCTTCTTCTGGTTGTAAAAGAATTAAAGCATTGGTTACAACTGAACTAAATACAATTTAATTCGATATTTTTAAAGTACACTGTGAGTGTTCTTGTACATAAACTTTTGGAAAAAAACCAATCTAAAAATAAATATTTTTGTATGCTTAATAATCATCAAATAATGTTAATATAATAAGTCAATTACTTTGTCTCCAATTTGCCCTTTCCACCATCCTTTTTGATCCCCTTCTTTGCTCAAAATTTTCAATGTACATCCTTCTTTTAATGGTAACTGGTTTGATTCAGTGGGAGAAAAATTATACTTTGCTATGGCAAGTATTCGACAAAATGGCCATTTCAATTTGATGTCCAACCTGTAAGATTAATAGTTAAATATAATTATTATGAATGTAATATTTTAGCAACTATACATTATGTTAAGTCTACACACCCAGTAAAATTTTCACTCAAACTGTTTCGTTCATAAAAATTAACTAATTCAACTAGGTTAGGAAAAAATCGTTTTTCTGATAAATAAAAACTGCTGATTCCATCTTCTAATCTTTCACATATTTTCATATGCTTTACTTGGTTGTTGGATCTAAGTAAAATAAATTACATATTTTGTATTAAATAAAATAATAATTTTGATTATTAATATTTAAATAATTGTAAAATAGCTTACTTTAAACTTAATGCATAAACAGTTTCTACTGGTCTAGTAGGTCCTTGAGGTCGTATTCGTACTAAATAGGTACCACCAGATTCGCTTTCCAATAGATTTGTTGCTCGATCTCTATCCATTTCTCCAACAAACCTAAATAATAAAACAATTTATTGAACTATAGTTTTCATCAATAACATGGCATGATTTTGTTGTGCACTTTTCTAAACATCATTAGGAAACTCAATATTTGTAAAAATCCCATTGAAGATACTATAAGTAATATTGAATTATTTTAGTGCTGCAGGACTAATTTGTTTTCTTTGGTTCAATTGCATGCAAAATTCATAAATCATGTTTTACACTTCTAAAATGTTGGATCTTTTTTGAGCGAATACGCTGAAATTTAAGAGCTTTAAATAGCTACTTTAACTATTGTCTAGTAGCTTTATATGTAGTTAAAATATACATACAATAAAAGAGGTATTCTTCTGAATTAAATATATTGTGGATTTGTGGCTAAATTCAATCAGTCACAATCATAAAAGTGCAAAATGTGGACATGCAGCTTGTGCAAGATAAATGTAGAAAACAAATGTCTAAATGCTATATGTATTTTTTTAAAGTGACCTATTTTATAGTAATTATTGCTTTTAGTGGTAATTATTAGTCCTCAACTAGTTTTGAATAGAGGTCTAAAATCTTACCCCCCCCCCCAAAAAAAAAAAAAAAATATTTGCAAAATCCTAAAAACAAGACATTTTGATCAAAGGTCTATAATACTTATAACTACAATTTTATTGAAAACCCAAATAAAATCCCAGGTTTTTGCTTTAGTTGCAGGTTGCTGGTTATTTAGTTAATAATTTATTTTTTATAAAACTTACCACAAATGTTCTGTTAAAGTATCGTTGTCTGACCAATTTCTTGTCCAATCTGGTGACTGAAATAAGAAGTTGAATTTTTGTTTTTATAAATTATTGTATTTTTGTAAATACAAATAAAATATACATATATAAATGTTTTTTTTTTGGAATTCATTTTTTATGTTAAAATATTAATTTTACTGAACATAAAATAAAATAAACATGTTATAAAAAACTGTACTACTCTGTGTTTGTAAGACTAATTTAAATTCTAATAAATGAGTTAATTGTTGATACTACCAGGAAATTATTCATAGTTTTAATATTAATGAATTTGTTTTTTTTTAACATAAGCTTTAATTAATAAATAATGATTTTAAAAATAAATAATAACCATACTTTTTAATTTATTAATTTATAAGTTAAATTATCATGATGAATTAAAAAAAAATAACCTGACAATAGCCCTAAAAAAACAGAAAATCAAGGTTTTACTGTATATTTGGTATGCCACAAGAAATAATTGAGCCTCAGTAATATTTTGTTAGTGAATGTAAAATTGTTTAAATTATTTTTCTAAATAAAAGTATTTTCATAGTAAGATTTATTTAGTTCAAACTATAAAACAATATAGATTCATACTCTGTGTCGTTGATTAAAACTGGTATGATCTGCTGGAAAACGATTTGAAAACATTGTGTTTTGGGTGGTAGTAGATTGTGGACTAATTAAACCACACCTACCCGATTCTGGTATGCATGATTTATGAACACTTATAAAACATTCTTCGCATTTGTAACCCTAAAAAAATTAAATATTCTTCGGATATAGAATGCATTAAGGATAAAGCCAATTACATTTAAATAATAGTTTACCTGAAATATGCAGCCTTTCAAGTATTTTGAACAATGATAACATACGGTTGGTGCATCAAAAGTTTGCATTACAAATTTGTGACTTGTTAAATTGCATACCGATGGCTCAATATTATCCCTAAAAATAAAGTCTTTGATTTTATAAATTATTAATAAAAATGTATCAATTAATACAATATTTTGAAAATTCGGTTTATAAATTAGAAAATATTGATTACTAATATTAATATTAATATTACTAATATTACTCTAGAGTCCAGAATATGTATACAAGAAAAATTATATGTTAAAATTGATGTAAGCTAGTCATATTCATTAGTACTTTTTAAAATTTACAATTATAATAGATTATGTCATTATAATTTTCTTACATCGCATCTTGAATAGCTTTCATCCATTTCATCTTTTGTTCTTCAGATCTTGCATAAAATGTATACACCGTACTTTCTGACTTGTGAACCATGTGGAACTGATAGGACCATCTATTTTCTCTATATAAGAATTTGCGGCTAGTATAATCTTCTAGGCGATATTGTGATATAATAAGTGACTGCTTAAACGAATATTGATCACTCTGGAAACCAATGAACTAAATATGTCAAAATAAAACTTACTTTATTAAAAACATATAAACTTCATTACATTAAGATCCTAAATTTGATCACATTATTTTGGTAAGACAAAGAAATAATAACAAATCCTTGAGTCTTGGGACTTAAATAGATTTTTAAAACAACAACTTATGTAGGATCTAATATTTAATTGAATTTAAGGTTTATGGACATGCCAAAACATTTTAACACAACTTTAAAATAAAATTATATAATTGAAATTACCTATAGCATGAGTCCAAATATTTTGAAAATTTCATTGAGTATGGAATATTTAAGAAACAGTGGAATGTTTAGAATTACAACAAATCATTTAAAATTATTTTATGAGAAATCGTTATTTTAATTGAGAATATCTAATGTCATCAAATTTACCATCTGAAGCTCATAAAAAATAATTATGTAATTACGTTATACTTTTTTAGATTCTGAGGGAAGCAATGAATGTATTGATTTTACAGTAGAACCTCATTAATTCGGACTAATTGGGGTTATAAGTTGTCCGAATTGATGAAAGTCCGGATTAAACAAAATAACCAAGAATCGTAAATTATAAATTTAAAAAAAATGTAATGGATATTTTACTATACTTACAATACTTAAGTCTATCTAATACATATAATTAACAATATTAAACCTAAAACATAGTACATAGTTGTATAATTGAACTCGTTTCATGTTTATTTTAATCTACATCATGAACTAGCGTGATAAACGGCTGTCCAGATTAAACTAAGCCCAGACTAATAAGGTTTTACTGTACAATGATATGTTATATTTTATTTTTATATTGTTTGTGCTTGTTCCTCATAAAATATAAGTGGCAATTAAAAAAAGTTGAGTGTTTGTAGTAGAATTTTGACAAAATACATAAAAATCACAAAAATTTGCAAAATATTTTGTATTTATGTTAAAGATTTGATAATTGAATACAAGATTCCTCATAAGTTTGTCTACCTTTATTAAAGAAAAAATGTCTACCAAAAAGTCAAATTGAATTTTTCTGAGGGTTTGAAGTATAAACGTCAACACAATTTTATTAGTTGGATCAAAAAGCTTGAAAATTTAATACAATGCTCCTCACACATTGATACAATATAAAATTTAACTTGTTCATTCTATAACCAAAAATGTACTAAAACCAAAAATAACAAGATACCTATAGTAAGAGAAATAATGTAATATAAGAATAATTTTAAATGCAATTTGGTTGACGAAAATTATTTTAACCAACTATATATTAGTAGTGTAGTACTAATGACTAGTAGCAAAATAAATTACTTTCATCATTATAATATCATACAATTTACTTGCTAAGTAGTATCATAAACTTACAGAACTTCTTCGCTCAGAATCATTTTTCTTATACAATGATTTTATATAATTGAATGCAAATTTAATACATCTACTACTGTGACTCTCTAGACACTTAATGTACAGCAGAGTGTTACCTACTTACCCATTTCTTTTTTAAATAATGTAGAGAAAAATTATGAAAAACCTTGTTCAATGTCAATTATAACAACATATATAGAACTTAGTATCAAATTTTCAATTCTCAGGTATGGGTATTATATATGTTATGAATTTTTGACTTCAAAATAATTTGCATACTTTTAAGATTTTGACGCAATTTGTCAAATTTTTAACTTCAAACACTCATAATCCAAAAGCAGAGTTTGAGACTTACAGCATTTACATATCCATAATAGATGTAGTAAAACATAGCAGAGTGGTATACTAGGTTTCAAAGAACAGAGAATTTAAACAAAAAGTTTTATTTTGCATATTTTAAATTTTTTTGCTTTATTGACATTTACATAACGATTTTTAACAATTACCATCATTATTTTCAAATCACGATCACGGGGTTCATGGATAATAATTGATTATATTGTGTAGGTTAGAAAAATATACATGCAATATAAATATGATGTTATATAGTTGGTTTATTAAAAGACATAGGTTTTCGCATCTATTATGAATTATAATACTTTACCTGTTGTTTCCTGAAATGATTAATATTAAATGTCAAATATATGAAATTTATTAAAAAAAAAATCAAAGTGGTCATGTTTTGTGTATATTTTAATTTTTTTTTAAGGGATACAAGTCCCAAACCTTGATCAGATGTAGTGGATTTAGGCTCAATTTA